GTGAAGCCGAGAGCAAGATATGCCTCGTCATATTTTCTGCATTTAGCTTTTAAATGACCAGCACCTGCCTGGGTCTGTGCGACTTCATCTATGGCTTTTCTCTTCGCTTTCACAAACCGATCCATCTCCCATTCTAAGTTACATCCTTTGGCTGTTTACCGTTTTATTTCTTTTCTTTTTCTCCTGATGGCCCGCGCTCGACTTGAAGCAGCGCTGCTTAGACCGATGGGTGTGTGTCATCAAAGTACTGAGAGAACTATAAGAGAGCGCCGACGTCTCCTTATGCTTTCTCTCGCCGTACTTTGATGTCATACACCGATCGATCTTCAAGTGGAACACACCTCTTTACTCTCGCGTGTCACGTGACCGAGTGTAATCGCAGCCCCTGTGATTGAAAAAATCGTGTTTTTTCATATCACGATATTATCGCAAATGCAATTAATCGTTCAGCCCTACATTAAACAGCTTGAAAGACCAAAGACAATTTTTAATATAACTCCGACTGGATTCGTCTGAAAGAAGAAAGTCATATACACCTAGGATGACTTGAGGGTGAGTAATTTATGGGCTAATTTTAATTTTTGGGTGAACTAACCCTTTAATGCTAATATAAATGTCTATTGTACACTTTAAATAGTGACATGCAAATCAGTAGATTTTATTCTAGAAAGACTACAAATGGCAGACAACTATAGAATGCCTCATGTGCATATACAAACTTAACATTTCAGAAATCTTATTATACAAAAAAGTACACTACTCATGAAGTGTCTTGTCTTAATATCAACTTGCCAAATAAAGACAGATACAGTTTTATGTACAACTACTTTATTTCAATATTCGTACAAATCAATATACTCGGCAGACAGTATGAAGTACAGCGCCCCCTAAATGCTTGGAGGACAAAGCACAATGCATCATCACAAACACACTCAAGGAAGCGGTACAGTTAACAATCAACAGAGAATTGCCATCCATTGAAATAATAAAGACCAAGAACAATAAAACTACAGAAACTAACAGAGTTGTCAAAATAATAAGAGGTTATTGGAACATCAGCCCGCTGTACAGAAGGAATTGAGAATCTTAAGCCAAAAGCATACAGATCATTTACCAGTTACTACTGTACAGTGCATTTAGAGGAATCATGCTGTTTTATACCTCTAGATGCCCTATATGGTAAATGCAACTTTTATTTGAACAAGCTACAGATCTTAGCTTCAGTTACTGGCTTGTTTTGGTGTAGCTGATCTCCCAAGCACAGGCTGTGAAAAATAATTTACATGAACTTAAGTGCAAATCTAAGCAAAGTCTTTGCTATTAGGTGTTTCTAGTCTAAAACTCTCCATGTAAACAGAATCAGATTGATTAAATTTAATCAAACTGAATTAACCATTTGCAGAAAGATCTTAACATAATTAACACTAATACATGTCTATTGCACACTTTAAATAGAGACATGCTAATCAGTAGATTTTATTCTAGAATGTCTGCCATTTGTAGTCTGTCAATTAAAATCAAACCATAATAGCCAATGACATACAGTGAGAGCAGTAGAAACCCTCTAAAAGAGACAGAATGCAGTCTAGAAAATGAAGTACTGAAGAAAAAATTAAATAAGGAGGAAATGAAGTAGTTTGGTCATCTCGGTAGTAAACACAAGGGACAGGAAGACCTTAGAGAGAGCAAGAGAGGGAACGAAAACTCTCCCGCTACAGACGAGAATATCCTCCAAATGTTCAATATACAACAGCCTCCAGCAAAATATATACACAAGAAGCATATCGAGAGTGGAAATGAATCTCCAATGGATGACAAATATGAGTAAAAGACGAATGGAGTAATAAAGTAGTAAGCCAATCAAATTCAAGGTAAAAACATCAGCAAAAGATTAGTATGCTTGCATGCAGTGGAAAGATATTCCATTATGTAAAATACATGGTTTACTAGACATCAAACAATGTATCCCTTCATTAGACCAGCGCTCCTTGGCCACAAGAGAACAAAAAGAATGAAAGACAAAGACGGAGTGGAAACAAAACCCCAAAGTGGACAAAACCGCCTGAGGTGCAGAGGTTCAACAAGCAGATGATCCCAGGTCAAATGGTGGCTTGGTTCTGGGTGCTTTAGCAGGACACCTCCATGGTTTGCGGTCTGTTCTGGTTGTCGTGGACCGGGCCGCCGGTGGCGCCCTCCATCTGTGAACTGGTATGTGCGCGGCTGCGTGAGCCGTCTGCCGAGCCCATGCTGGAGGCAGAGTGAGTGCGAGATCGAGCCAATCGGGTCATACTGGCAGTGGGCACTGAGAGAGAGAAGAGAGAAATCGAATGGAGGTGAAAACATGTATGCACTAATGCTGCTGCTGCTGTTTTGACTGAGGCATGACTGTTGGGACGATCCTGAGTGAGGGGCATATGCTTCACAGGATAGCCAGTTTTGCACTCTTAGCATTCGGATCCAAACATATGAAGATCCAAGAGAGGGAGAATAATGAGTCTCCTCAAACTACGTGACTCCTGCACATCTGCACACTGCTGACTGTTCAACTAAAGCTGGACTGACTGAGATATGATAATTTGGTTTATGGTTAATGAGAATAGTAAGCTGAATCCCAATTCACATACTTCTGAAAGTATGCACACCATTGACCGAGATTTGCTGCAAAATGGATTTCGAAACAGATTCAATTAAATTCTGAGTTTTATGCATAAAAGGCAATTTAATTAAATACTGCCACAGAGAGAGAATGTTTCATATTGTGTTTCAGACTGATTCAAACCATTAACTCTTTCCCTGCCAAACACAGAATTTACTGTTTTCACTGTTATACACTCTATTGCGCTATTACGCATCTCCTGAATGAGTCTAGAATGTCCAGATCAAAAACACAGGCAAGGAAGACAGAAACGAGCGATCTCATATGCATATGAAAAATAATGTGATCGTCAACAATAAAAAGCATATAAATGAAAATTGCCTAATGTTACCGAGTGAAATGTCAATCCAGGAAGTGGTAAAGGACTGTGCAAGCTTTGGGAGTGCTGATGGAAGCCATCTACTGCATCTTTGCTTTGATCATTGTACTGAATGTGATCCAGGTGTAGTATCTGATTAAAATGCAATTTTCTCAACTTTTTGCTCAAAATTGTGCTTTTTTTTTTTATATCTTACCTACATTCAAGAAGTCTTGAAGCTAAAATAAAACGGATTTTTGTTTAAAAGTAGTCTGTTCTTGATTTTGATGTATTGCATGTTCAGATATTTATACAACAAAATATTCTGGGGGCCATGAAATTGTAGTGAAAATCATCAAAAATGCTGGCGGTAGCTGGCAACTTTTTTCAAAAATGCTGGCAGGGAAAGAGTTAGCTTGCTTACTTTATTCATGCTGCATTTATTTGATTCACTAAACAGTACTGTCTCATTAAAGTTATTTTTGTTTATTAACTAAAGTAAACTAGTCTTGTTGTATGTTAGTTTTTTTTATTCACACATTACAGAAATATCTCAAAAGCCCACAAGTAACACTATTTGGGTGCTTTCACTTGGTTCAATTCTTGGTCCGATCCAGAGTTCGATTGATCCCCCCTCCCCCTGCCCCCGCTGGTGTTCACACAGTAGTTTTTGGTTCCAAACCATGATACAATTGCATCATCAGAGTGGCAGCTGTTTACCCTGTTGTCAGGTATTAGTCTCCAAAGCGCCAACACAAAATGGCACATGCATCTATTTGTTACGACTATAATGCAAAGGTTCAAAAGAATGTGGGAGTCAATTCCTGCAAGCTGAAATGAGAAATAAATTCTCTCTGCTTGCAGCGCATCAGTCACACTTGTCAGGAAAGCAAGCGAATAAACAAATAAATACACCAATACATATGTCATTAATAGTGGTTCACTTCAGTGATTTAATACGATTGCGTACTTTAGTACTTTTTAGGTGAACTCTGGTATGGTTCGTGGGTTCATTATCCAAACTAAACCAAACTCTATAGTCAAATGAACCCGGGTGCACACCAAATGCTAGTGTGAAAGCCCCCATTGACACACTACTATCACTACTTTTGCACTGCAATTTGTAACCGTCTTGTATATTATTTGTGTATTATACAGGATGAATAGTATGAAAATTGGGATTCAGCCATAGTTACCCTAAAGCCCAAAGTATACTTCGCTTTTTACGCGTACGTGAGGGACAGCGTACAGTGCATGTGACACAAATTGTGTCATCAAAATAGTACGCGCACCACCTGCTTTTTGCAACAACAACAGGCGCTCACATTGACAATCACTCAAGAGAGCTCAGCTTTGGTTTAAAAGAGTTTAATTTATAGAGTTAAAAGAGTTATAATTTACAGGAAAAAATAGAGCAGACACTGGGCATGGATGAAGCTTTCAAGAGCGCATTTGTCGACCGCCCGCCTTTGCACACAACATCAAATGTAGTATACTTTGAAAGGCTACGCGTTCAACTGTACGCATATGCTAGCATAGGCGTACAAAAATGAAGTATACTTGGGGCTTAAGAGCGAAGTCTTTTCTTAATACTCGGGCCTAAACAGTGCTGCAGGGATGGTGCATTTTTGTAGGCCAACGCGGAAGTAGCATCACCCTGGTTCCCTTGACAAATCCAATAAGATTTTTCCTTAGAGCTTATTTTCTGCAATAATCCAAAAGCCAGTGACTAACAAATGTTCATGATTCTTACAACATTTTGTTCATCAAGATATTCTTCACAAACATGAACACCATAAATACAATTGGCAGAAGCAAAGCTAAAGTTGGTCTATATTAGCAAACTTGCATGACTTCAACGTCACCACCACTAAACTGTTTCAATCTTTAAAATTTGATTTGTAATCGTTTGCAAGAGCTATTCTAAACAACCAGGCTGTAAATGCGGACTAGTTAGTAGATGAGTTGACCACGCAATAACAACCTCTGTAGTCCCATTTAACCACCACCTTTTAAGACACGTAAAAGCTTAAAAAGTGGTGTATTGTAGATATTGTAATATATGAAAATATATTGAGCTTGCGTTAACCACAGACCTTGTTTCAGGCATTTAATCAAAAACCCATTCAAAAGACCCATTGACATTGGGACAACGATAATGCTAACTCGTTTCCGGGTTTTAGCACTTATTCCTGCAGCACTCCATCAATAAATCTCTGAATCCTGAGGTGACACAACCACCCTGCTTGGACACTGCAGTCATTATTCTCCCATGAAGGAAAGATAATCCTCTGGTGAGGATCAAGCTCAAATTCATTTTTACCATTGCAGCAAAATGAATAGTCAACTTCAGACAATGCAGAATGTGGCATGCAAAGTAAAGTTATGTTTCTATGTGAGTCATAAAAAGAATATAAAAAAACATCTGTTGGTAGTGGACAGTGTGCACAAACACATTCTCTCAGACTGCTTATAATCATATACAAACATTGGCAACATATGACCATTTACCATGCTTTACACGCCGTGATGCAGACAAAAAGACATTGGTATGCATGTGATTGGGACGGGAGGGACAGACAGTGAGGACAGGAAGCACGGGAGGTTGAGATGACGAGCTTAGGCTCAGCTAAAGGTGCAGGTTGATCTCCTGATACCTGATTCGCTGTTCAGGTGGCTGAGTAGCACATGAGGGACTGTTGGCATTGGATGTAAGGGTCAAGAAGGAAGAAAGGGAATGTAAAAGGAGGAGGAAAAAGATGGGACAGAGGAAAGGGAGAGATTATTTGATAGTACTTTCTAAAAGAGGGAGGATAGAGAAAAGGAAAGATTAAGCAGAAGCTACAGGAGAAGACGCAAGGAAAGTAGGGGACATTAGACCAGGTGATGGGAATAGCCTTGACAGTAAGTTGTGTTCTAAATTATTCAAAATGCAAGAAAAGTGGCAGCCAGTGGCAAAGTGAACTTTTTTTTTTGGGTGGTTATGGTTCTCTTTTTGACATAACAGATTATTTTAAAGTGAATATCCTTAAAGCATCATGGATATTCACTACAAGTCAAACAAACATGTGGACGGAGAAGACAAAAATAGTACTTTTTAACCCAAACCATTAAATAGTAGCCTTGGTTAATATAATTTTAAGACCGTGGTGAAAGAGTTTAAATTTGAAAGTATAGAGAAAGTGAGAGAAGCTCTCTAGAAGGGAAATTGTCTTCTGGGATAGTCCCTCACCAGAGCGTACACTTGTGGGTTTGTTAAAGATGAAACTATATAACACACCCAAAACAGTAACAAAGAAAAGAACAAAAAAAGACTGACAAACACACTTAACCGACTCAAAACACACGGTGGAAATTACCGGATACCCTACCTCTACTGAAAAGCAAATGTCAATGACAGAATCAGCCAATGAGCATTATGCTCTGTTAATGACTCATTCAGCATTCACTAATATTTCCACCCCGACAAAAGAAGAATTACAATCATATACAGTATGTTAGGTGCTTTTCTTGTCTGAACCTACAATTTACGTGCATGAAGTCTGCACTAACAAATACTACTACAGTATAAAGAAAGAAGGATGATTAAAAAGTACAGGAGTACCTCATTTATAATCTATTTGTTAATCGGCAACATGTAGAATAGGGTTTCTTTGTCAATGAGTAGGAAGCTGTGCTGGTTTTTTTTTTTTGCACAAAAATACAAATCATAAAATAAACTAAAAGAAATACAATAAACCTGATACAATCAGTATCCCAAACCCTACAATCAACCTTTCAAACATTTTGGGTGTAAAAATGCACTGGTGCTTATATACTGATTATGGATTTTAATAGTTGATCATTACTGTAATGCTACCAAATGCATTGCTTTTAAAATTCATGAACTGTAAATATAAAAACCTAGTCTGCTGTTTTAGGCAATACACATATATTAAATAGTTAATACCATAAATTGTGCAAAAAAAATATCATTGAATTGAACTGACCAAATTTCAGAATCACTTCATTTCAAGAACAATGAAGTCCGAGCAATTTGTACACCTCTAATCCTTATAACACCACAGCAGAATCAAAGTGTTTTTGATTACATTCTGAATTAAATAGTCTACAAGGCACAAATCTTACAGTAGCTGCGTTTACATGGACCCTGCTAATCCGATCGTAATAGGACTAGAAGCACAATCAGATAAAATATCAAAAATTATATCTGGTCTCTGAATCATGTTTGGTTTCACTGTATATCCTTCGGTTATTTTCACACTCAATTATGCCCATTAACATGTATTTTATAAGTTTTTGTTACTTTCACCGTTAATTTTTTTGCTCTATGGTACATCTTTAATTTAATAGCATTAGAGCTGCTCGCCGCCGCACGCTCAATCCACTCAGCGTGCTTTGTTTATCAGCTCGCGCACATCAGCTATACAGGCAATACTGAATGTTTAACATTATATTCATTGCATACATATACTTCGTAGTAGACATCCTTAACTCCTTTCTGCTGTCTGTTGTTGGTGTTTCTTTTGAATATGGCGCTTATCACATGCTGTGTGGTATCGGCGTTTGGTATCGGGGCATTTTAACGAGTACGAGTACGAGTACGAGTACAGGAGACCAGTATCGGGTCCGGTATCGGTGCATCCCTAGTTTATTCCTTTTGTAATCCGAGCGAGAGGACATGTAAACACACTTGATCGGATTGAAAACCGAAACTGGAAAGTACTGCGCAGGTACAGTGACGTAAAAAATAGCATAATGACGTATGACGTGCGGAACGAGCTGTTCTTCCTGGTGAATAAAGTGACCATAAATGAGTGTCCCGTCATTATAAAACTCCACTTCACAGACGCTGAGTGAAAGGGGAGCAGTACAACTAGTCCTTGTTTAAGACTCTCATGAACAGACGACTGGTTTTGGGTGCAGGAAGGGGCACTTTTACTGCTTTATAAAGTAAGCAGCACAGAACAACAGTTCATGTGCTGGTCGTCGCCTAATTAGAACCAGAAGTAGATAAATATCACGTGTGCTTTTTAAAACAGTATGCGACAACAGCGGGAAACTCTGTATATTCATGCAGTGCACGCATGTCAAAAGAGTAAATCCGATCAGAAGCTTGTGACATATAAACACACATATCAACCCGATCACTTTATTTAGCGTTCATGTAAACACTACGTTCGGATTCGTCAATCAGAATGAATTAATTCCGATGGAAACAAAAAGTGTCCATGTAAACGTACCTAGTGTGCGTGTTCCCGGATGGGAGGGCTGTATTTTTCAGAAGAAACAAGAATAGAGACTTACAAAGAGGTCAACAGATCTCAGGATTAGATTAGTGACTTGTGGAGGAGGAATGTGACTAATCGCATTAAAATGTGAGCATTTTCAAATGAGTCAAGCTGCTTTTGATCACGTTCCTCAGACTCTCAGAACACACCTAATCACCAGTGACCGTTGCTAGCGTAATTGTGTTGAGTTAGTCAGAAACACTTTCTGGAATTTCAGAACAAGAGCTTAACATGGGCACACAAAAAATTTGGGTAGATTAAGATTTTTGATTACTATTAAGATAACTATTTCTATTCAGCAAGGATGCATTAAACTGATCAAAGGTGACAGTAAAGACATTTATAATGAAGAGTTCTAATTCAAATAAATGCTATTCTTGAACTTTCTATAAAAAAATCCTGAAAAAAGCATAATGGTTTCCACAAAAATATTAAGAAACCGCTGTTTTCAACATTAATAATAAGAAACGCGGTTACACTTTACTTGAAGGGGTGTGCATAAGACTGACATAACACCTTCATAATCATGACATGACACCTACATAATCATGACATGACACGTCATTCGCTCAGTTATGTAATTTTTAATGCAAAGATGACATTGTTTGAGATGTCTTTGTTATGGGCTATGGTAAGGGTAGGGGTAGGGTTAGGTTAGGGTTAGGTCAAATAATGTCATATTTGCATTAAAAAATGACATAACTGAGCGAATGACACTTAATGACTGTTGTCATAAACATGCATAAAACCTCCTTCATATTCATGACATGTGTCATGTCATGATTATGAAGGTGCCATGTCAGTCTTATGCACACCCCTTCAAGTAAAGTGTTACCAGAAACGCTATTTATGCAGCAAATTGGCATATTAGAATGATTTCTGAAGGATCATGTGACATTGAAGATTGGAGTAATGATGCTGAAAATTCAGCTTTACCATGACAGGAAGAAATTACATTTTAAAATATATTAAAATCAAATCAGTTCTTTGGAAATATTTCACAATATTACAGTATCTACTGTAAGTTTGCCCAAATAAATGCAGCCTTGGTGAGCATAACAGACTTCTTTCCAAAACATACTCAAAAATCTTAGCAGCCCCAAACCTTTAATCGGTAGTGTACTTCATTCAGGAAGATATGCATTCATGACTCTGAACTTTGACCTCCTTTTTTTGGTTAATTTTTTAATGGCTAATAAAGTCTAAAATATTTAGACTGTTTTGGCAGGCACTAATCGAAACCACAATTCACATCAGTAATACATAGCTGTGAATACCACTAGTGTACTGGTGACATTGTGTTAAACCCTCAAAATGATGTTTAACAAAGGGGAGGATTTTAAGAGAGCTGTTGGGATTCTTTATAGATGAACTTGCCAAGACCTGCTATAATTCAGTGCTGCAAGTGGTTTAGAAATCACTAGGGGTGCAACGGATCGTAGATGATCCATGATCTGTACGGATCGGGCTCCACGGTTCGGCACGCATGTGATTTGCGAATTAAATCAAAAGTTTAACCATCATAGAGTGAAAGTTTATCATTTGAACGTGTTTTGTCTTGCCAATTTACACATTCAAGCAATTTTAAACCACTCAAATGAAAGAACTCCAATCGGGACTCGCACACTGTTTTCTGTGCACACAGCCACTGCCGCACACACCCGAAGTGTGCCCATACTGATAGAGAGAGAGGGGGGTGCGATTCAGACAGTGCGTGACACCGAATTGATGCGCTTGAACGGATGTTATGTTAAAATACCCATTTTGGCAAGTATTCTGGTAAACACAGTCGTTTATGTCTTAAGTGAATGTAAACAGCTGAGAAACAAAACAGATGTATGTCAGTATTAGGTCTGTGCATTTGGTCTTAAAGTGATAGCCAATAAATACCTGCTTCTCTCTGCTATTCAAACAACACCACAGCTTTAACAAAGATTATTCTGTATTTAACTTATGCAGTGAGCACTATTGTGCTATTTTAAACTTAATTTTTACATTTCTGCACCTGAATACTACAGTTACTGACTTTATTTGTAACTTTATGTTGTATTCATCTATGCTTTAACTTTGTGTACTAGTCAAGCTAGTAGTTTTGGCTGCGGTATAGAAGTACTTAAAGTAAGCTTTCAGTAATAAATGAAGAGCAATCCTTTTTTTTTTTTAGCTAATCCAAAAAAATGATCCGATCCGTGAGTTTTGTGATCCGTTGCACCACTAGAAATAACACACCTTTAAATACAATCACACACAAAAATTTCATTTAATGTTTATATCCCGGAATAAAAGCTTATTCTGAAAATAACCATATAAACATTAGAGCTGAATGAAGCTGAGGCCTTGAATACAGATTCATGGAGGTTTGAGGTACTGTATTACAGCAATAAAGTTTCCATGCTATGCAAACCTCTGTTCAGGCACAGGACCTTTTAGGGCACAAGAGATATTTATCCTGAAGATCAGAGAAGGTTTGTCACACAGGGCTCATGCCACACAGCATGCTCTTAGAGGAAGACTAGTGTACTTACACGCTGAAGAATGCAGCACTGCACAGCCACACGGGAGACAAGTCATGTGTTAGTGTAGAGGACGGCTGATCTGAAACCTGCTTAACTCAAGAATACTGGCCTGACGCTTCGAGTAATAAAGCCAGATCAGCAGTGGATAAATTACAGTTCTTTTCAAGATTCATAACATCTGATGCCTTGTGTTCTTGCTTTGAACAGGCAGGATTTTCTCTCTCACACCTACACCCGTAAATGTGTCATATTCCTGCAGCTGTTTTGAGTTGTGTGAGTATTTATGACGTACATTATTAAACCCCCGGAGACATACAGTATGTAAGTCATTGCCCAACGTGACATGAAGCTGACATCTCTCTAACAACACGATGCTTTCAGACAAAAATGCACACAAGAGGCAAAATATATACAAACAGTGAAGGTATATAACTGAGGAAGATGATATGATTAAATGCTTAACATTAAAGTGGCCTATGAAAAGACAAAGAGGACAGATACTTACTGTAGCCCATTCCCTGGACAAAGTACTTGAAAGCCTCAGCGAGTTTACCCGGCTGAAAATACAAAACATCCACATTTAATACAAGTCTAAATTACATCAAACTGATGCTGTGGCAGACACAATAGTGTTGTCTTTTATTCTTACTTGGACAACTTGGGGAAGTCCACCACAATCTGCCATCTGAAGAGAGGAAGGGAACAATAATCAATTGTGTCATACTGAAGTACAATAATCAACAGAGATGGAAACTTGAAAAATGTCACAAAGATGTGACCCCAGATGAAGAAAATCCTTAAAATATAGCTTTAAAATTATTTACAATTGATTTTAGCATAAGGATAAAAAAGTGAAGAAAAAAAACATTTCACCAACAAAAAATGGTTATAAGGCAGTTATTTTTTATCTTTTGCTGCAGTGTGTCAGTAGGAAATCAGTTTACATTTCCAAACATTCTTTTTGCCATTAATTGTAATAATCCAGTGAGATTTTTGTTTGCACAAGGAGTCTGACAACAGCCAGTGCTCCACACAGAGATCCGATCTTTGGATCTTCGATCTGACTGGAATTAGAAGAAAAAAAACAAACAAAAAAAAACAGAGACAGACTAAATCCAGAAGAACTGTGGCAATGTCTCCAAAACACCTGATTGAAGAAACCTACCTGCAAAGCTACAGTACTGTGAAAAGTTTTAGGCAGTGAGGATGCTTTCAGAAATAATGTCATACATAGATTTTATTGATCAATTAACTTCTATTAACTAAATTAAATTAATATTTGGTGTGACTACCCTTTGCATTTAAAACAGCTTTTGTTCTAGGTACACTTGCGCATTGTTTTTCAGGTAGCTTTACAGGTAGGTTTCTTCAAACGTCTTGGAGATATTGCCACAGTTCTTCTGAATTTTGTCTATCTCATATTCTTCATGACTGACTGACTTCTGACAGGATTAGCGATAGCGGGACCTCAAACATTTTATTTGTTGACAGATTTATAATTAAAAATTTTACATTTTCAAATGTATGTTACAAGCGACCCAAACTCTCAGCACATGCAGAGATGGAGCTTGTGTGGTGCTACATTTACTGCGAACCACTCTCTTTACTCTGAGAGACTGAAAACACTGGATCATGAGTTGCTTTTGTGTAAAAGAGCACAGTGCGGCGCTTTCTTGACAACTCAAAACCTCATTTTGGTCTACACAAAGGTGAGAGTTTGCATCCCTAAATTAAAACATTGCTCTTGGAGAAAAAAGCTGACATGCCTTGAGTAAAGTAGTCTTGGTAGGATTTAGCCTTGAGTTGCATTCAACCTGTAAAAAAACAGATAAAATCCCACCTGGTCAGTTTAGAAACAAAATGGAAGGTATAGACTAGGGCTGCACGATTAATCGAATGCGATTGTCATGTGCATTTTGTTTAAAAAGCCGGTTCTGTAATCAGCAGGAAATCATCATCACGTGCTTTCAGATGGAGCAGAATTTACTACACATAGCCGTAGTTCACTGACAAGATACGCAAAAAAATCGCAGATGATTTTATTGCGCGATTCTGAAATCGAAGAAATCGTTCGCGATAATGGCAGCTGTTTGCATAGCTTCTCAGTGAAAAAAAGAAGTGGGATTTGAACCCACGCCTCCATTTGGAGACCAGAAACCTCAACAACTGAGAAGGTTGATATGTCTTGAGTTTGGCGCCTTAGACCACTCGGCCATTCTGACACAGTGATAAAGGCATTGCATTATAAATATACTTTATTTTAATGAAAATTAAAATAATAAGAACTCAGATAAACCGTATATTGCCTTAGTCGTGTGTTTATTAGTCACGTTGAATCAATGAAAGCAGTTGAATCTTCTGTTTATTCAGCTGCAGCGATAGGCATTTTCTGGGTTTCTTCTGCGAGGCGTATTTGGAGTTTCAGCGCGAGA